CAACACCGCGACCATGACATGGGAGCAATTCTCATATGAGTTCAACGAAAAATACTTAAACCCTAGCAGGGTGACCAGATATTGGGATGAGCTTCATGGCCTCACACAGGGGTCGATGGATGTGGTGGCACTGTCAGCGAAACTTACAGATTTCTTACAGCTATACCCCACCGCAGCTCCCACCGAAGCAGATAAGACCTGAATATTCCTGAGGGCATTAAGGCCAGAGATAGATGTCCATGTCAGGAGGGGAAACGCGACTCCTGACACATTGACAGAGTGTGTCAATGTGGCTACCCAAGTGGAATACTATATGCCAGCCACACAGCCAGGTGTTGTGACCCCAGCAGGAATTCAGCATCCGCCAACTCGTAACCCCGGTAGTTCACAAGGATGGCAAAGGAACAAGAAGATGTCGTATATTGAACACAAGGGAAAGAGATCCAGTTCCACTCCATTTCGCCAAGAGAGGATTGTACAATATCCATTATGCAACAAGTGTGGCTGTAACCATCCTGGGCAGTGTCATTATGGAGGTATGACTTGTTATCTCTGCGGTCAGGAGGGTCACGTTGCTAGGGCATGTCCACGAAAGGGACAATCACAACCCACGAGTGGCAAAGGCATGGTCAGTTCTGGGGCAATCCACCATATGCAAGGATTCATTGAGGGTCCTTCCATTCAGCAAGGGAGGTTGGAGGCACCACAAGAAGTCACCATAGTAAGAGTTTTCACGCTGACGAGACAAGAGGCATCTCAGAATCCTAATGTGGTTATAGGTCAGGTTTCCATTATAAATATGAATGCTAATGTGTTATTTGATACAGGGGCAACACATTCCTTTGTTTCCAAAACATTTGCAAATAACATTGAGAGGCCTAAAGAAGAACCATGGTATAGCTTTTCGGTGTTCCTTCCGTCCGAGGAGACCACGTGGTCAAGTTTGTGGCTGAGAGGTGCTATGATTTAGTAGTGCTGGATATGAATGATTTTGATGTGATTTTAGGAATGGATTTCCTCAGTAAATATTCTGCCTACATCAGTTGTCGATCCAGGAATGTACGGTTTGAACCAGATGGTGCAGAACCTTTCAATTTTTGTGGAGATTCACGGGGACTAGAGAAGATGGTAATCACTGTTGTGAAGGCAAGAAAATATCTTCGGAGTGGGTGTCAAGCATTTTTAGCTCACGTGGTGAGTAAACCTGCAGAGAATGAGTCCAAAATGGAAACAACAGCTATTAATGAGTTTCGGGATGTGTTTCCGGAGGATCTTCCTGGGTTACCTCCACCGAGGGAGATAGAATTTGATATTGAGCTCATACCGGGTACAAACCCGATATCCAAGGCAGCCTATCGTATGGCACCAACAGAGTTGAAAGAGTTGTATAAGCAATTACAGGAGTTACTTGAGAAAGGCTTGATTCGTCCCAGTTTTTCTCCTTGGGGAGCTCCTGTGTTGTTTGTGAAGAAGAAAGACGGGTCTATGAGATTGTGCATAGACTACCCAAGGTCATTAGCGAGGGGCCAGGACACGAGCTGCGGGCCCATTAAGTCAAGTAGCAAGATAGGAAGAAAGAATGATGAATGAGGAAATCTTTTAGATTTCATTACGTGAAGTTATGCTTTGCATGATATGAATATGTCTGTGAATATGCTATGTGTGGAGTAGTATTCTAGCTTATGTATCTAATTATGGCTAGCTAAGACTCCGTTATTTTAGTGGAAGTAATGGTGACTTACTAAGCAAATTTTGCTTACGAGACTTTTGTTCTCTTGTGTCTCATGTATAGGTAATGAATGAAGAGTGGAAGCCTGAGAGAATGTTCGGGCCGGGTGGCAAGGTTGTGGATGGGTTAACTGAAACGACCTGGCTGTGTCTCATGTTTTGTTGTTTTAATATGACACTTTTATGAGTTGTTTTATGTTTTGTTTTAAAAATCCTGATCAGGTGTGATGACTTTGTGTTAAGCGTGATTGTTGTTGGTCTTTGACATTTCAGTTATGGAGTTTTCTTATGTATATAAGAAATAAAGTTTCATGACGAGACTTTGTATTCTGTAATATTCTGCTTTGTATATTGAGTCTTGTTTATGTTAAGTATGGTAATGGCCGTTTGGGGACGGTCGTTACAATGACTTATTCAGTCAAAGCATTTCTGACTGATTCGCTCTGCCCACTTTTAATACTCGTTAAGCTTCGGACGTATTTGGTTGCTGAGAGTCTCATATTTGACCCTCACCTGATCACTTCTCCTTCGTGGTATCTTATCGCAATTCTTCAAGATATATCAACTCCCGCCATCATCAACTTCCAAAAAAACTGGTCGGTCGAAGCCCAACAGCGTAGAAAGATCGATTTAGAGCCTTTGAACTCCTTCAAAGATGAAGGAAGTCTTCTACCTGGGGTGGAAGCTTCCTATAGCAAGTTGACTTCATTCATATGTTGATTTGAGAGAACTGAGTTGATTGCTTTCCAAATTGTTTTGAAAATATACAAATTGAGGGAGAAATGAGAAGAAAGCGAAATGTTGATGGGTTTTGCAATACGATGGGTTCCTGTAAAAACTTTTGTTCCTTTCATTGTCATTTCGTTAATTGTTGTTTTCATAGCTGGGAGAAAATTGAGTTCTTGATGTTGCAATAACAGATAGATCTATCTATAATAATTCACTGAGGAGGGCAACTGGCTTGGGCTGAAGTGAGGCCTCAAACATGAAACCATATTTTCCCTCAAGAATATGATTTTACCCCATCCCAATTCGTCCCATGGTGTGCTTGATTTAGGAGCTATCTGTAAACAATAAAATGAAAAGAGAGTATACTTCCTCTATTAAAAGCATCAATAATGGAACAACTGCTAATAATAAAATCTACGGAGTACTTATTTACTGAATTTGGTGTTCTCGATTGAAATGTTTTTTCCTAATAGAGAACATGATCGAGAACTTACTATGTTTTTCTTTTCAAAATAAGACCATATTAGTCCCATTGGAAACATACCTATTTTTCATTCCATTCTTACTCTTCATTTAAATATGAGTTAATTAAATGTTTAATTAATAATAAATTCGAAAACAATTCAAAAATTCGTAGAAAAATATTTAAAAAATTTATAAAGTATTTATAAAATAAAAAATTAAAAAATATTTTTTTAAATTTTTAGTTTTTTAAAAAAACTAATAAAAAATAGTAAAAATCCATAAAAAAATTAAAAAATATATGGAAGCCTTTCCCACCGCCTGTACTACCTCCCTGCACCACCATCTCCGGCCGGTGAAAAAAATGTCATTTTTCCTAAAAACTGCAATTTTTTTCTGAAAATGCCAAAAACATGGCATATTTCTCTGAGAATGCCAACATTTTCATTGTTATCTGCCATAAATATGGCATTTATAATGAACTTGACATTTTCCCCCTGGTGACTGGAGGTGGTAGTGCAGAGGCGGCGTTGAATTTTATTTTATTTTTTTGAGTTTTTTATTTTATTTTTTATTTTTTTTATTTTTTGAAAAAAATAAATAAATAACTTATTATTTTTGAAATATTTTTATTAAATTTTTAGTATTTTTTACGAATTTTTATTATGTTTTATTATTTTATTATGAATTAAAACATTTCAATAGCTATAAGGGTATATTTGTCCAAGACACACATAATTAGTTTTATGAAAACTAGTTTATTTTTTGGTCCTATTTGTGCAAAGTGAGTGACTTTTAGTCATATTTTGATAATTAACCCTTTTCCTATATTTGAAATGTTTATTCCTGTTTTGAAATGGTAATTTGAAGTGTTTATTCTCATTCTAATAAAAGGGTTATTTGGTCATTCTATAAAATTTGGATTTTCCATTCATCACATGTAGTAAACAGTTTATTATCTTATTATCACTTGATCTAGATAGACATCTTATTCTAGGCAGACATCTTAACTCATTCAGGATTTAATTAAAAACAAGTAAACAACCCCTAGTTTTGTTTGTTGTTAATTAGATAAAATAGTGCAAAAAGCGCCCACTTAAGATCGACTTGGCTACACCATATATATCATACTAGATATAATCTTTTATATCAGACTATTATTTATTTAACGAGAAAAGGGTCAAATAAGGTCTTCTACTATTATGAAATATTCACATAAGACCATGTACTCAATAAAGTGTCTTATAAGTACATCTACTTCTAAAAAGCAATCAAATGAGTCCTAATGACCTATTTAACACTTCTTAATCCCGGTTTCAGCGTACTTCTAACCATCTTTTTAGAATACATTATACGACATATATCGAATATTTAACTAAGATTGGTTGAAATACAAGTCAAAAAAATTGACATTTAAGCTAAAATCGGGATTAGGAGGTGTTAAATAAGCCTTTAGGACTCATTTGATTGATTTATACAAGTAGAGGTACTTATATAACACTTTATTGAGTACATGGCCTTATTTCGTACTTATCAAACACACTACAAAAAAATAACGTCATTGAGAGAGATTGTTGATAGGGATTCCTTAAAATTCATATAGCTTTTTAATGGACTAATATATTTAGGTCATTATTGTACCTTCCATATTATTGATTTATTATAAATATATCATGAGGCTGCCTAATTGGGATTTATTGAAAAGTTTGGTCATTATTGTAACTTCCATATCACTAGGTATTAGTCTATTACATTTGGCACAGATATCTCAAATCCATTTCAAAAACATTTGAATTTTCTTATCCTAAGATTCATGGCTAAATTTGAATTTTCTATAAATATGGTGATATAGGTATGTGAATTATAAGTATCTTAACATATGCCTTCTGCATTCACAAAAAAAAAACGTTCAAATTCCACGAATATATGCCATCATATCATCTACTCTGTAATACGTCGTATATAATATAATCACCCCAAATAAGAAATTCATATTTTTTGTATAATCTTTATTATGACTTGATATTATTCATTGTACATAAAAAATAATATACACATACTATTGGCATACATAGCCGATAGGTCAATAATTTAACGTTTGGGTGCGTGTTTATCATACAACAATTTTAGTTCCCAATTCAAATAAATTACGTACTGCGTAGTATCTAGCCACTACAGCGAGGGGTTTGCTTTAAAATAAGCTAAAAGACCAACAAGAGGTGCATTAAGATAAGTGGTAGGCTCTGATTCCCCAGCGTCCATTCTATCATCTGGAAATTGGTCACTTCCATCATTAGGTCCTCCAACCACTGCTCCTATCAGCACGTTAGGGTTAGGGTTTGAACTGTTGAAATATATAGTCCCCTCTTTACATGCAATGTGTGCTGGATGATCTTTAATGGACGGCAGCGATGACCCTCGATGGTGTATTCTTTTAGGATAGGACTCACCATATCCCACCATATACGATATTTGCAAGGGATTATCTCCCAAGATATAATCCACCTTCATTTGTTTATATAATATACATGGTATTGAATTAATCATCCATAAAAAAAAGAATTAATCATCCATCACATGTATAAGATAATTAAGATTGATATTTTATTAGTACGTAACAACAAACATTAATTTTGACCAATGCACATACACTCTTGTTATAATTAAAGCATAACTTAATCTTCTAAGATAGGAGTTTCATTACTTATTTGTCATTCTTTTCCTTTTATCTGAATGTCCTTCTCTCATTTTATTATTTTCAGTAGAATTGTTTGTAATTGTTTCCTTTTTCTAATTTTGAATTTTTTTATTAGTAAAGTCAATAAAAATTTCAATATTAATATCATATTTTCTAACTATTTTGATCTGAACTAAGATGACATGAACAATATATTTTTATTTTGAAATTTAATAAATGTATGGAATGATAAATCATACTGCATCATATAGGAATCAGTTTGATGGCATTGCCAAAGTAAATAAAATTTATAATAGTGATGTACAATATAACTATAATTTCAATATGGCAGTCTATAGTATGCACTAATTAACTTTATCAAGATTACATTATAATATATCACCTTAAAATATAGTTATTGTTTTTATTTCAACACAAAATATTTCATTGATTGTTTTGTTATCATTATGAATATATAGAATCCTGTCATTTTAAATATATTATACTCTGTATATGAATGAAAGGGGAGACATATTGTTCGGTAGATCATGTGTTTCTAATCTATTTGTGAGAAACTATGGCGGTCGCGCAATAGATGATTCTATCGTTGAAAAGATTTATTTCATATTTCTCATTTCTGTTTTCAATTCTAAATTAAGAAACAAGATTTATGTTATTTTGGGGATAAAATAGGAGATCACTAATAGCTCCTATTTTCAAATTTTAAAATTTTTACTCGTATACTTAAACTTTAGGCAAGAAATAATTCTATAATTCTATAAACATTACTCATTAAATGTGATGAAAAAAAATATTACTCCGTACTTAATAATTATTAGTGACTACAATTGTATTTAAAATTTACATCTTAAAAATATTTCCAGAGAGGGAGAGAGTATTAATATACGGTGCACGTGATAATGTAAGGTATCATAAAATTTGCCCTAATTTATCTAACCTTTTGATGTAAAGCACATGATAATTACCTGAGACTTGGCAAATTCTATAAGTTTAGAAGTTGGGAAAACATTGTCTCCACATTGGATTGTCCTATTGGAGCTCTCCAAATACCTTCCATAGGTAAGTAGGAGAAAGGACAGAGATATAGGACGTTGCATGTTTCCCATCAACCCTTTCTGGTACAAGAGTCCACCTGCAACAACACGTGCATGCATGGCCACCAAAATTTCCAAAGGGTTGATTAGCCCTAAAACATGAAATATTATAAAGTACCCAATGAACAAAAAGCTACAGAAATTATATAGTCAAATACCAGGAGTGAATTTCTCAGTTTTTGTAGGCGATTCAGGAAGAACTGCGCAAACCAGGGCATCGGCATTGGGAATGAATGGGATGGTATCTTTGCTGCCCTCACCATTCAAAACATACTGCTTGCAAAATTAATTAAATATTTATTAAATTAATTAGTTTAGTTGATAAATATGAAAATTCATTATTGATTGGATTAGCAAGCAATGAAATATTTAATTACGGAGTGTTAGCTATTAAATAAATTGCATGGTCAATAACCTGCGAGGCGAGGACATTAATACCAGCGTGTTTGGCATCCCATCCAAATAAACTTCCAGCTGTCCAAATTTTATTTATATTCTCTTTCACATAATCCCAGTACTGGGCATCATTTGTGGCTTTATGGAGCCATGCTGCTCCCCATATCAATTCATCCTACCAATTTAATTAATTCATAACTAAGTTAATTCTTCATTAACTGATTGAGAATGGTGATGATTTACCCAATAATTTTAAATGTGTAGATAAGCAGGGTCCTCTAATGAATTTGGAGCGTTGATTTCAAATGGAGCGTTTTGACTAATTAATGTTACAAGCTATAAACATTATCCCATAAACTACTCAATGCATGACAGATTCTCAAAATGATTTTATATTTTGAAAAAAAAACTTTAATAAAAAATGTTTTGCAAAACATACAACTAGAAAACTTTAAGGACTTTAAATAGTACAAAAAATAGAAGGTATGGACACATTCCTACCAAACATGCACTTACTTTTAGACACAACAAGAAGTTATGAGACTCGTAACCCTTAAATTAGACTCTATACATACTCCCACAAACACTGCCTGCCCTTTAAAATTTAGTTGTTTTTTATCAGTTCTGTAAAACTTTGATCAATGGTGCATAAATTTGTACATAAAAGGTTTTTTGCTAAACATACTCTCATAAAAGTATGAATTTACAAATTACATCAAAATATATTGATGAAAACAATTGATCAAAATGTATCATCATTGATCAAGAAATTCAAACATGACAAATTAAGTTTTTAGACCGGAGGCAATGTTAATAGATTATGCGTACTACCTCCGTAACGTAAAGATCTTCTCACTTTACTTTTTCAACCGTAACTAAGTAATCTTCCCATTTCTAAATCTTCTCATGATACACTATTACACCTACTTTTTTGGAATTATCCTTCATTCCATCACACCATTTCATTATCTTTCCATCATACACTCAATAATTTATATCTCCTTTCACTATCCATAATCTCAATGTTACGGACTAGTAGTCCATAATAGCTTGGGTTAATAGTTATCTGTATTTAGCTACCTCGAAATCCAATAATTTGCATATGTATGTATTATGTACTATGTACTTAATACCTGATAACCGCTGAAATCGCAATAGAATGGACAAACCGCTTTACAACTATTATTGTAAGAAGCTTGGAATTTATCAGCAAACTGAAAAACCTGATATCACACATACACAAACATATCAGTGTTTGCATTAATTAAATGAAGAGGGTGGGAAACAATAATTTCTTGTTATACTTGGCGGGCCCTTTGAAGGAGGGAGCTGGAATAAACAGGATCAGAACTCTTTAGAGCCATGGAAGAAGCTGCCAAGGCGGCAGCAATCTCTGCAGAAACCTCAGAGCCAGGAAACGTTTCATTGACCTGGTAAACGGTACGAGGAGTGTCCATATCTTCGGGCCTTTCCCAGCAGTTGTGGTCTGCAATTGGGTCACCAACCATGGCAATCACAACATTTTGCTTGTTTGTAGCCTTCAACAAAAAGTCCGTTGACCAGCGTATCGCCTCAAGGGCATGGGGCAACTCGTCATTACCCATGTCTTGTCCATATTCCAGCACACTCCATGCCAACATTGTGGCTGTAAATGCCATGGGAAAGGTATACTTTACATTGTCACCGGCATCATAGTAACCGCCTACCAAATCTATCTGAAATTATTTATAGAAAATAAATTTAGCCAAATAATAAGTTGTCATGGAACTGAAACATAGTCAAAATGCTATACTAGGAATGGCTATGACAGAAACTGGCTTGATGACAGTATTATGATTTTATAATGATAGTATAATGTCATAATCATATCCATGACATTCTTGTTTCAAGATGACGTTTTAAAGTTAACAATTTTTTAAATGACATATTTTGCATCTACACTCACTTTTACTCCTATTAGATAAAATAGGAAAGTCATTATCCTATTTTTACATATTCACCACATTTTGTTCATTCTCTCATTACAATAATTAAAGTAGTTAAATAAAGGCAAAAATAAGTTGCTAGTATTTAATCATGTTTATATGTATAAGGGATCAAATGCAAACTCCTCCTAATTTATAAAGTAATTTATAAACTACAAACTCTTAAATTAATCATTCAAATCTCACAATGGCATTTTGATAGTAAAATCAAACTTTTTTTGGGAAATATCTCGAAATAGGAGTAAAAAAGTTTGAAAATACCAAAATAGAACTGTCATGTTTTTATTCCCAAAATAGGACTAAATAGGACTATTTACTGCCAAGTTTGGAAAATACCGTCATGTTTAAAGTCTGGTACTGCCAAAACATGACAGTAATTAGTCCTATTTTGAGAATAAAAACATGATAGTCCTATTTTGGAATATACAAACGTTTTTAGTCCTATTTTTGGTAATTTCTCAACTTTTTTCGGATGCAACTCTTGCATCACTAATATACAGGTGTTATTGCATCGCACAATAATATACAACACTTTGAATCTCAATATGCAATACAAATAACGTGATGCATCGTACAAACACTACATATAAAGACAGCTATATATACGGAGAGAGAGCTGGTATAATTGTGATACTACACTATTTAAGTTATACGGAGTATATACGAAGTATATGACAACACAAGATAGAATTAATAAAAAACTTACAGGTGCTATATATGAGAACACAAGATTTAATTAGGAAAAAATCTTAGTCGTACGTGGATAATTTGATCAGAAATTACTAAAAATAAAGATAAAAATTGGAATCAAGCTTCAAAATATAACTACTTATTACGTTTTATTTTTCTTAAACGGACTTATTACGGAGGAAATATTCATATTTTCAAAGAAAAGTGATCCTGATTTAAGAAATCACTATACATGTACTACGTATATTTTTCTACTATTTCAAAACTTGGCCTAATTTTTATGATAATTTTTACGGAAAATTCTCTTATATTTATTAAACGTAACAAGACACTTCATATACCTTCTCATCTAAACCATCTCGAAGAGCAGAATCTTTTCTCCAAGTCATACGCTGTGAAGGGGGCAGAGGACCGGACCTCTGGCCCTCATAAAATAGGATGCTGTTGGATAAGGCCTTCCCATAATCGTGACCCTTCACCTCCGTCACCGTTAAAATGGCTATAACGGCAAAAAAAACTACTTTGAGCGATGGATTATTTTGTGATTTTCCTTCTCCCGCCATCTCTGATATTAGTACAGTTTCTTAAACCGTAATCTAATAACCACTCTCACGTTTCTAATTTCTATTCTCTCTGATGTATATATAGTACTTAGTCAAGTTAAGTTCGCCTTTTATTTTTGGAGTATTTTTTTGGCATGTCTCCTTTTACTCCGTATTTGTTTTATTTAATTAGTTAAACGTATTTTTTTCATTTCATGTTCCTTTGTTGTTTTTTTAATGTTCCTTAATTGTTACTCCGCACTACTAATTGTATTTTATGTCTTGACTCTTGAGTATATAACGATTACAGAAAGAAATTTCCTTAACAGACCAACTAACAGAGTAAACAGATTTATAAATTTCAAAATAGAAGTATTATATTCTTATCTCTTACTAAAAACAATTATTGATATATATGTTATGTTTTGACATTACCGACCTTTAAACTACAAAATATTTTCAATGTTGATAGCAAAGTACTATTTAGTAAATAAAAAAGATAGTACTCATATTTCAGGAATTTACGTTTTAAGAAAGTCGCTCAAAAGTAGGAGTAAAACATTGATATTAGAATTAAGTATATTTTCTTCTCATAATAAGACTAAATTTGGCTTCTTGAAAGACCAATGATAAAGGGCGTGTTTGACATTCAGCAGATAGCGGTTTATATTAGAGGTTGCAAATAGCGGATTCAGTTAGCGGGTTAAACTAATGGAATGAGCTAGCGGGTTTCAAAAACTCTAGAAGGAAATACCTTATTTCAAAACGCTAATCCAAAACGTTGCCCCTAACGGCGTTTCCATGTCATCGGTTCCATCCCAAGTCACTAGAGCCGAACAACTATTTATCAACCAATGTTTTTACCAACAGAAAACGCTCAAATGGTCAAACTACTATTTTTTTTGGCAGAAATGCTATTTTCAAGAGACCCCCTAAAAACTTTCCAAAATATATGAAACAATCAAATCAAATACGTAGTACTTCAGTACTCATACTGGATGACCGTGACTTCGTGAGAACAATCTCATCTCATCTCTAAACCGGCTAAACGATGTAATACTAGGCATCATTTATAATGAAAAATAAGGTAGATTCTACGATATCACAATTTTTAATTTAGATGAGTACAGGAGTTTTCACCTAAAAATAAATAGAGTAAAAAGAGGAACCACAAAAGAATCCACACGTTCGAGCCTTAATTGCACGATTGGAAGAAGTATGCATTTGAATTTGTGTATGTAATTCCCATTAGGAAATTTGTCATAGTCAGTCATCTTAATCTATTACGTAGTACTCTGTACTCCGTATTATGTCTTCTTCCTTAATACGCCTTCAATTTCTTTCTCTTATTACTTGTGTCTCTTATCTCCTTGTTTTGTGAGAGATTATCTATGTTGTTAAGACTCGGATCTCATCCTAAAAGGTCAATCTGATAGGAGAAGTCGTTGTCCAAAGCCTTATACGTAGTATAATGTTTTATTATTTTATAGATTTCCGGTGTGAGACAAATACTTTAACATATGTTAACAGATAAAATTGACAAAAATTAAATTTGAAGGAGATCATTGATATTTTTAAGAAACATTATTTTACGAAGTCTCATTTTTCTTTTACTAGTGTACGTGTAGTTAAATCATATATCCGATTTGTATAATCTAAGTTTGTAATAAAATTAAAAGTGACAATGTAAATAAATTCATCTACAAACAGTGATATTCTTCTAAAAATAACATCAAATAGCATTATAAAATTGAGGTAAGGCTAGTATATATATCACTAGAGAAAGTAGTTCTAAATAGGACTAAATTAATCCTAAATGTACAAATAGGACTATGTTATTTATCTTTCCAAAGTAGGACAAAAGTGTATCCTATTATCGTATTTTACCCTTACCATAATTTAATATAATAATCATAATTTAATTTTCAATAAAAACAAAAAATAGTAACAATTATTTTATCTTAAAAAATCGTAAAAATATAAAAAAATCAAAAATTATTATAAAATAATAAAAGTAAAAAAAAATCTACAAAACTTTACAGATAAAAAACTAAAAAATTAATAAAAATAGATTAAATGCAATAAAAAATAAAAAAATATGGAGGTCTTTCCTGCAGCCTCCACCACCACCCAGTAATGCCACCTCCGATCGACGAAAAATGCCATTTTGTGTAAAAAATGTTATTCTTTCTCTGAAAATACCATGAAGATGACATTTTTACACTTTGCATGCAAATGTCAACATTTTCTCAAAAACTGTCATAAAGATGGTGATGGAGTATATAAGTCTAGACACCATGACCCACATACTCAAAAAACTAAGAGGAAGCACAGCTGTCACCCTGTGCGTCCTCCGTCGGCTAGATGGCCCTCCATCGGCCAGATAGATATTAACTCAGAATATGGTCCAGAAGCCAGGAAAACCAGGGTGCCCTCGTCGGCCATGTCTTCATCATGCCAGACCTCCGTCGGCCACAGAGACTTCAAAGAGCTAGATTTCATACTTAGCTAGTTTACTTATTTTGTATTCGGCCCAATAGTGGCCTCATTGTAAACGGGCCTCCCAAGCCCAAGGCTTGGGAGCTCAGCCCATATGTTTCCTATAAATAATACTCCTGTTGGGGGTAGTTGTAAGGGGTTGACAAATACATTAATTGCATATTTATTACACTTCTCTCCCTAGCTCTCCATTCTCTCTAAGAGTTAATACTCTATCAGATGACATTGTTTACACATGTTGGCATTTTTCGAGTGGACAGAACAGGTGGTGCTGGGAGGTTGTTGAGGCGGCAATAGAGGCCCGCCTGCATACTTTTTTATGTTTATACGTTTTTTATTTTTTATTTTTATTTTTATTTTTTTAATTGTTAATTTTCTATTTTTCTAATTTTTTTATTTTAATTAATTTTTATTTAATATTTATTTTTTGTATTTTTTTTATATTTTATTATAAATAAAGTTATGTTATTGATTTTATGTATTATGGAGTAATTATTAATGAAGTATAAATAAAGTATTAAGCAAGGGTAGAATTGAAAAACTAGTCTTATTTAGAGAATTTTAAAGTTATGGTCCTGTTTTTGCAAATTAAAGTTTCATTGTCATACTTGGAGAATTCCATCTTATTAGTACTACTAGTTACCCCACCCGTGCATTGCACGGGAGTGAGACACCCACATAATAATTTAGATATAATTATATATTTAAAAATATTTAAAAAATATGATTGTGTTAGAATTATTTGAAAACATTAAATAAATTCGAATAAATGTTAAGAACTAAATGTAAAACATCACATGATGAAACGAATGTGCATTTGAGTCCACCACACTATAACGAAAATTATAAATTACTTCATAGTACAAATTTTTTGTAAACAACATTCAATGTTGATTTGGTTGGTTGTCCATCTTCCTCATTACAAACTTCAATTCCATGAACTTGTTACTCTCCACACCGCCACGTACAAATGTTTGTGAGTAATAATGGGGCATCAGAGTAGGTTGACAACCGTTTTCAACGATTTTCCGTGACTCTTATTAATGGCCATTGCAAACCTAACAATTTTAGGCGGAGAATGCTTATGCGGAAAAAATTTCTCTCCAGTGTAGTGCTTTTAGGTATAGGATGAAATTACATTTTAGGATTTTAGGATTATAGGATGATGATTTTTTTTGTGGAAAGTATAATTACATTTTAGGATTTTAGGCGGAGGATGCTTTGGAGGGAGAATTTTCTCTCTCCAGTGTAGTGCTTTTAGGTATATAGGATGATTTTTTTGCGGAAAGTGAAATTACATTTTAGGATTTTAGGCGTAGAATGCTTAGGCGGAAGAATTTTCTCTCCCTAGTGTAGTGCTTTTAGGTTTAGGATGATTATGTTTTCTGGGAAAGTGAAATTACATCATAGAATGATTAGGCGGGAGAATTTTCTCTCTCCAGTATATTGCTTTTAGGTATAGGATGATGATGTTTTGTTTTGCAGAAAGTGAAATTACATTTTAGATTTTAGGTGTAGAATGCTTAGGCGGGATAATTTTCTCTCTCCAGTGTAGTGCTTTTAGATATAGGATGATTTTTTTTTTTTTGCGGAAAGTGAAATTACATTTTAGAATTTTAGGCGGAGAATGCTTAGATGGAAGAAATTTTCTCTCTCGAGTGTACCGTTTTTAGGTATAGGATGATGATGCTTTTTTTTTGCAGAAAGTGAAATTACATTTAAGATTTTATGCGGAGAATGCTTAGGCGGGATAATTTTTCACTCTAGTGTACTGTTTTTAGGTATAGGATAGGATAGGCTAAGAATGCTTAGGCAGGAGAATTTTCTCTCTACAGTGTAATGCTTTTAGCCGTTTAGGTATATAGGATGATGTTTTTTTTTTGCGGAAACTGAAATTACATTTTAGGATTGTAGGCGGAGAATGCTTAGGCGGCAAAATTTTCTTTCTCCAGTGTAGTGTTTTTAGATATAGGATTGCCTAAACTAATCTTAAAATCACCATATTCAGTTAATATATCAACAATCAACTAACGGCTGGATTTAAATTTTACGGCTATTCGGTGTGACTATAAGGCAAAACACATCCAAACACGTTCAAGCAAAAAATAGTCATTTTTTCATTATTCCGGATTTTCCATTTTGGCTAGCTGTACATTTACTAATAATATACAACATTACAACGTATATAATAAATTTATTAGTGATCCTTTCGACATATAAATTATTCATATATTCAACGTGATTGCATATTAATGTTCATTTAAAAAAAATAATTTTAAAATTGTATAGATCTATTGACCAAATATTGTTCAGTTCAACAAACACAATGGACCAGCAACTAAAGATGATTACATTTCACTGCAAACAAGCGGTAACATTGTTGTTGTAAGAATATGGTAACCGCTATTTACAGTCCATAATTGATTGCCAATTTGCCACAAATAAGAAAAAAACAAGAGAAAAAAATGGCAGTGGGAAGAAATGACGGCGA